CACCTTCAAGTGTGATAGGCAAAAATCCCAAGAGGAGACCTGGAATAGCCAATATGCTTCAGAGTTTGGCTCTAGCCCAGGCCAACATTTGCTGCTTCCTTGTTCTAAAGTATGTGTGGGAAATATCAGACCTGGGGGCTGAATGTGGCCCTCCAGACTTCTCTGTTTGGCCCTCTGGACTTTTTCCAGGCCACACCCCCACCCCAGCCACACCCCTTCTGCCCAGGCCACACTCCTCAGTGACCCTCCTCGAGCCTTGTCTGGCTGGAATGTGTCCTTGAACTCTGATAATGTCTCTTGCTTTGTTGGGTGTGTGGAAACTAGTCTACTGTACAAAAGTAAAATTTACATATGTTGCTCCACCCACGTTTTCCTTGGCTCCACCCACCATTAGAACATGGCCCCTGGAATGTAGGAAATGTAGTCCTTCTGAAACAGCTTCCTCACCCTTTTGCTAAAGGTTCTCCTAGCATGGAAAAACCTCCTTACCTTCTGCATTTTGCTCGGGGGCATCATTAATGCGGCTTAATCACAGGGCAATGTATGAAAGACTTTCTGCACATGAAGGTTACACAACACAGAGCATCGTGCCTCAAAACTAGAACATAAAGCGTCACAATCTAGTTTTAGTGCCCCATGCTGAGGAAAGGGCATTAAAAATAAAACTTGATCTGCCGTGGCATTAATCATGTTGGTGTTCTTTCTTCCTTGAATATTTGCTTTTGTCTTTTGACCCCATCCCTTTAGTTTTCCAAACCGTTGATGGATTTTGATGCTCTCCCACTAACATTATCCCCCCTTTTCTCAATAAATGAAAAGCACCATTTATTTGAAGGCAATTGTTAGTCTTGGTTTTCCTATGAACCCAGCCCTCTTAATCCTAGCAAACAGGATTCTCTCCTTAATCCCTAATCCCCGAGTACTTTAGCTATTAATCTGGAGACGCTTTCCCCTTTACCCAAGTGAGGTTAAGATGAGAATGGTTTCCCATCGTTACCAGTTCTTTCCCCCATGCTCTCTGATGGGATTGCTGAGTGTCTCTTAAAGCTCTGGGCCAAATTCAGACATTCTGATTTTGCCCTTCTGGGTTCATAGATTTCTCCTGCTTGAAAAATCTATGAACTCTTTTTGCTTGCCTTTTCTGTATTGTGGGAGACCTGCTGGAATGCAGAAAATACAAGCATGTACAGTGCACAGTTAATCCTGTCACAGCAAAAATAGAAATGGAAAATTCTCTCTCTCTCTTGCTGCTACTGATAGCAGAAATTGAGATTCTTTCTTTTTATGTGTATCTCTTCAAATGACAAGAGTGGATTGCTTAATATAGCACTTTTAATGTGCTCTGTAAGCTTTCTGTTCCCCATCACTAACACCCCTGTGATGTAGGCTGTGGCTTGCAGACACCTTATTTAAATAGTTTGCCTGTAACCTTAATGTAAGAAAAGTTTGGAAACTGAGTGCATGCCTGTCCTTTGTTATACCTTCATCTTATAAATGAACTCTGGGTGAAATTAATACATAAAGGGGTGTAATTAATCTTCCTCTGCCCCAGCTCTCTCAAAGTTGGTGACCTTTCTAATGAGAATGACCTTGTAATTAAAATGTATCTCATGGGCATTTGATCTCTCTGCCATGACAGACTCCCATCTGACATATGTTTGAAGCATGCACTGAGAAATGGGTGGGTTGGCCCAAGACTTCAGACCCTGCTCAGCCAAGGAGGGGACCTGCTGGATGTCATCTGAGCAAACACAACTTTATGCCTCAGGCTGGGTTAACATGAGTAATAGTGAATATTATTAGTTATTTTCCTAGGTCTTGCCCAGAAGAGTATAAAAGGAAGGACAGCATCACAGTGGATTGCATGGAGGAAAAGTTATCAGGTGTTTTGCTTGTGTGAACTATGCACATGTTAGAGAACAGTAAAGGCACAAGTTCTCGAAGCTACCAGCATGAGTTTGACCAAACTCAGGTGGAGTAGTTGGAGGGAGGCAGGGACCCTCTTGTTCCACTGTGGGAGGCAGTGGAAGACAGGAGTGCCTGGCATGCTCTGGTCCATGGGGTCACGAAGAGTCGGACACAACTAAACAACAACAACAACAACAACAACAACAAAAAGGCGCAAGTGTGTTTAATAAGTAAGAACAACTGTCTGTGCAAACTTGGTGACTGAGAGAATGTGTGTATAAATGTGGGGCATATTATATTAGCCTGTTTTTTCCTTGTATATCTTCTACCTGTGCCCTAACATTTATATATTATGTTATGAATGATTGAATTAGTTAAGGATGCATTAAAGGTCTGAATCTTAGAAGCTGCAGCATGAGGCAGACTCCCCTCTTCAAAAACACCACCCTTCATCCCACTGAGAATTAAGAGAGGGAGATAGTAACGCATATTAAAAATGTGCCCCCCTTGAGCTTCATAATTGTTTCAGTTGTAAAACTATGTGGATTTTATTTAGTGTTTAGCTTTTGAAGCATTTTATAAACACCCTTAATATTACATCCCACGAAGAACTCTTACCATGTCCAACACACAGGAAAAGGAATGCTGTTTCATCTTGAAGAAGCAAAGGTGTTGCTAGTAACTTCTGCATTGTCAGTTTATGATATAACTTGCAAACTGGACACTCATGAATGTATCCATGGTGGAATCTCTGCTTTCCCACGTGACCTTTGGGATCTCATGATGGCTCCCCTTTGTGCCTGGACGGGGCCATTTTGGCTAAACAAAGATGTACATATTCAAATGATTTCACTATTAATATGTAAGATTGACCAAAAGCACATTTTCTTCATCTGCTACAGTTTTAAAGCTCCCCCCTTTCCCCTTTACTTTGTATTGATTGAGGGAAGAGTCATCTTTGTTAATTGAATATTGATAAAGAAATTAGGAAATTGAGGGAGATGGCAGAGTGCGGAGGTCTTTGTTTCTGCTTTACAATAGGAGTTTTTTAAAAAAGAGCAGGGAAGTCTGAGAGAGGAAAAGTGGGAGGGGGAAATGTTTAAAACCACAGCTAGGAAATCACTCTTCCAGTCTACATTGCCACAGCAAGATCAATTTTCAATTTGTTTCCTTGCCTTTTGTGTTCCAAGACACTTAGATTTCAGGGGTGTTCACTGTGATCTACCAGGGACTGTTTGTTTAGAACAATTTGTCTGTATGGTGTATTTCTCCCGTCCCAACACAAATCCCTAGAGGTGAGGGATCCAAGATGGCTCCCCCCTCATCATTTTTAACTGATGAAACTCTGTTTGTTTCAGTAGTATGTCAGTGTGTAAGGTGAGATGAGTACTCATTTCCGGAGATAAGGCTTATCTATATTTCCATCCTATCTCATTCTCCAAAGAGCTCTGGTTGATGCACATGGATTTTTCCTTCATAAAATAGGTTAGCTGGTGATAGAAGTTGGCTGGTCCAAGGTCATCCAGTGAGCTTCATGGCTGAGTGGGGATTTCAGTATTGATCTCATTGGTCAAACTTCAAAACCCTACCCACTACACCAACAGTCTCCAGTATTTTCAGACCTGGGACCTATGTTTAAACCAAAACATGCATTTGGGGGACTCATTTCTTATGGTTTTTTTTTTACCATATATATATGTGTGTGTGTGTGTGTGTGTGTGTGTGTGTGTGTGGTGATAGTGCCCCATCTTAGATCAGACAGTGACCTAGTAAGAGATCCAAACCCAACAGGTGAAGACCAATACAGTGCACCATACTGACTGTCAACATTGGTGCTGTCCAATTCGTGTATATGTTTGCATGCATGGATGCACAGAATACTGCTAAGATATGCAGATACAGTATTGATAAAGAGCATACAAATAAGGTACACATGCCCACCCATCCTCTGCCAAATAAGGACAATACTTGTACACATTTAATGAAGCACCCTAGTCAATGAAAGCATATGCCACAATAAACCTGTCAGCTTTTAAAGTGTGAAAAGACTATAGTTTTCAAATCGTACAACTCTCGTTTAGAGACTACACTTTCTTTATTCAAATTCACAAGTTTTATCATTACATATATTTATTTATTCATTTCATAACATTTATGCACTGCTTGGTTGTAAAAAACAGACAAGCAAATCTTAAAGAGCTTTACAAAAAGATAAAACAAGGAAATCAAGGAAAAAACCATAGTACTCTAAAACATGCAAATGTTAAAATACTGAAACATTAAAATTCACATCAGTTTTCTAAGCATCTGGGTGGGCTTATCTAAACAAGAATGTACCATATATGCAGGTAGGTAGCAAAAATAAAGAACTGTTATGTGCAATTGCTAGGAAAATGAGATGCATAGGAAGAGATTAGTAGAAGAAGTAAATGGGTATGGTGGGGATACACCTTTGCATCAGGTAGTGAAATATCTCAAGACAAATCCGTTTATTGTGAGGACCATGCCTGTACACAAACATTAACACAACAATAGTTAAAAGATATTAAAATTCATTACATACTACGCCAACAAAACCTTCATCCCACAAAATAGAAAGAGAGGGAAAACGAGCAACGAGTTAAACAGACGATGAAGGGGTCTTTACATTGTCATCCATAAGTCTTTCCCTGGCTTTCATGGCCTTTATCACAAAAACCGCTACCACATGGGTAATACGTGGGTTTGCATCAACTAACAAAAATTTTACTCTATCTTCAGGATTGGTTATAGAGTTGGGTATAATTTGCAGCAATGCGTCTCTAAAGCTCGAGTAGATGGGGCAATAGAGGAGGTAATGTGTAAGATCCTCTTTAATTTTCATAAGGCAAGGGCATAAACGATGTTCTACTGGGGTTTTTGTGAATCTACCGGTCAGATATGCAGTTGGCAGTGTTTGAAACCGTGCCATAGTGAAAGCTCTCCGAAGGGTGGGGTCAGTGATCTCCACCAAGTAGTTGGCACAGATTTTGACTGCTTTTACTCGGGAAACCAGTAGGAAAACCCAGAGTTTTTTATCTTTGTGGAGTCCAAAAGGCGTCTTTTCAAAGATCCATTCCCGAACTTTATCAGGGCTCCACAATTTAAGGGTATTAAACTCAGGTAGATTGTATCTGGATAGGATATCTAGTAGGTTTTTATGCCAAGTAGTATTATTTTGTAATAATACAAAGGCTTGTTTAGCCAATAAGGTGTTCGGGGCATCTGTGAGGTTGGTGAAAAAACGCAGGAATCTTAAGTGGGCCCTGGCAGACACAGAAGGTAATCCTACTTCCACTCTTAGGAGAGCTGCCGGAGTACTCTGAGGGAGGCCTAGAATTCTTCTGAGGTAGAAATTTTGGAAGATTTCAAGCCGTTCTAACAGCTTCTGATTCCATCCCCAGAGTTCTACTCCATATAGCATCTGGGGAATCACTTTTCCAACAAAAGCTTTTAATGCCGGGATCACCAGTTGCCCTCCCTCGAATAAAAAAGCTGAGCAGGGCACCGATTGTCCTACGTGTTAGAAGGGCTACAGTCTTGAAGTGGGCAAGCCAGCTAGATGTAGCTTGGAAAGTGATACCAAGATATTTAAAAAAAAGACACTGTTCAATTTTGTGTTCATCTAAAGACCATCTAAATGTGTGGCGAGCTCTAGTAAATACCACAATTTTTGTTTTGTCATAATTTATCTTTAGAGAGTTTTGGGAACAATAAGCTGCGAGCCCCTCCAGCATGCTATGTAGGCCCCTTCGAGTAAGTGCCATGACAGCCATGTCATCAGCATATAGTAATATATTCAGGTGTTTGCCTTCCAGGGCAGGAGCTGATGACTTATACTTTGCCATATGTTGAACAATGTCATTTATATAGAAATTAAAGAGGAACGGCGCTAACAAACAGCCCTGTTTAACCCCTTTCCCCAGTGGCAGTGGATCAGTATAGTTGCCTGACATCCCAGTTCTGATTTTAACTGTGGTGTCTGAATGTAACTCTCTAAGTATTTTGAGAAGTCGTCTATCAATATCTGTTTCATATAATTTTTGCCATAATTTGTCCCTACAGATTGAATCAAAAGCGGATGTGAGATCTACGAAAGCCACAAAAAGTTTGCTCTTATGTACCTTTGTATACTTATCTATCATTGTCTGTAGTACCAAACAATGGCCTGTTGTACTATGGCCCTTTCTAAACCCTGCCTGTTCCGGATTAAGCAGGTTAGAGTGGTCAGCCCAGTCAACCAGTTTATTTAGCAGGTAGCGAGTGTAAAGTTTATACACAATGTCCAGGAGACTTATGGGGCGATAGTTTGAGGGGTCTTGGGGGTCTCCTTCTTATAGATGGGGGCTACCAGGCTCAGTTTCCAGTTTTCTGGGATTTTGCATATATCATTTATTACCGTAAAAGTTGGGCCAAAATAGCAGCCCACCACTGGGCATTTAGTTTAAATACCTCAGGAGGAATCATATCCTCACCGGGAGCTTTGCCATTCTTGAGTGTTTTAATTAGCTGTAAACATTCTGATTCGGTAACAGGATCCCAGCCCATTAATAGATCGTTTTTAAGAGGAGGAAACTGGCTCGGTTTAGCAATGTTTGGAGCTGTATATAGCCGGGAAAAGTGTTGGTACCATAAGTTAGATGAGATACTGTTGGTTACAATTTTCCCTTTGGGTGAAACTCCCTGGGCAATTATTTCCCAGAACTTTTTGTCATCCCGCAATTTGATCGCTTTGTCAAGTGCCTCCCATTGTTCCTTTCTGTAGAGGGATTTCTTAAATTTTAGAGTATTTTTATAATGAGAACGCCACCTGTGCAGGTTTTCCAATGAGGACAAGGTCCCTTCCTGTTTTACCTTATTTTGTAGTTTCCTGAGCAAAGATCTTAGATTCCTACAGTCTTTGTCGAACCAGGCCCTCGAGTTGTTTTGTTTTTTGGGAGGGTTGGAATTCGTGAGTAGTGGGAAGAGCGACTCTGAGACCTGCTGAAATGTTGAAAAGGGGTCAGAAATGGATGAGATGCACTGGTCTCTCAAGGCCAGTAAGTCTGATGAATGCAGGTGTAATTTGATTTTAGATTCCAGGTCGCTGTTCCATTTACGCCTACGAAGGGCCAGAGTTGGAGGTGGGTCTGCACAGTGATTGCGGTATTGCGGATCCTCCACACCACGGGGAATTAGTGAAATTGATATAGGAAGATGATCACTCTCAATTCTATTGAAAGTCCTGAAGCCCTGTGACCTCTCCAAGAGTTTTGGGGAGACCAGGATATAATCAATAACGCTCGCACCTCTGGGTCCAAGAAAAGAAAAGAAACCCCCTGACCTGTCCATATGGGTACCATGCAAATTATACAAATTATGTTTGAAGGCAGTCTCCATTAATGTAATGCCTGCCTTATTCAAGACCTTATCGTCTGAGGACCAGGGAATAAACCAATCTGCCTCTGGCAGGAACTGAGATTTAGAGCAGTACGTATTAATGTCATTTCCTATCCTGGCGTTGAAATCACCTGCCAGCAGGATATCCATGCCAGGGAATTCTAGTTCAGCCTTCTCCAAACATAGCTCTAAATCTTCCCAGAATTGTGACGACTGGGGAGGGGTGCCTATGGGAGGGATATATATATTAAAGCAAAGGAAATCTCCTCCTTCACTGCTAGAAATAAGTAAGATTTGTAAGTTGTTACTCTTCACCCACTGCTGTTGCCGGGCCTTGCATTTTAGCTTGGTAGAAACAAAAGTGACTAAACCACCACTAGGTCGGCCTCGGGATTTTGGTTTTATCGCAGGGGTAACAAAGGCTTCGTATCCGTAGTGAAATATAGTTTATGTTCATTGTTTTTCTTTTGGGTTATCATACATTATCATTCATAACTGATGATTACTTGCATGCCCTTTATAAAAAGTGTGTGTGTGTGTGTGTGCGTGTGTGCACATGCATGCCATCTGGATATGAAACTTTTTTAAATTTACATTTTTATTGATTTTTAAAAATAATAATATAGGCAGATTTCCTTCATAAATAATTATGTCGCAGGTCTGAAAAATTCATCTTTAGCTAATAGTGAGGAAAGTAAAGAAAATTGCCTGCAAGAAGTATTGTTAGTGGTATCTATAATTTAGTTGTTAAAGGCAAATTGAAATCATTTAAGAAATCGACCCTTGAATAATGTTCCTGCCAGCCAGTCCCTCAAACCCCTAAATTCATTCTGCTGTTTTTCTCATCAGGGCTCTTGAGTTGAGAGACTAGAATAAAAGTCAGATGGAAGGAAAGTTGTAGAAATCAGCTTAGATGAAAACAGATATAAAATATAATGGAGAGGCATCATATAACTTTCTTATCACTCTACATTTATTTCTTTTATCATAATTAAAATTATATGCTGCCCTTCAGCAGAGCTTTCAGCAAAATTCACAGTTATAAAAACAAGCTAAAAGATAAGTTTAAGTAACTACAATAAATAATAACATGTTAAATGGGAAGAAGTTGGATGAACAAAAATATCTGTCTGATGCTAAAAGGATATCCGTGTGGACTTTCCAGGGGGAGGAATTTGTCAAAAGGTGCACTACCACTGAGAAGGCTTATGGTGAGGTTACTGGGGGAATATTCCAGAGCTTACAAATGATCCCATAAAACCCAAATCTCTTAGCAGTGACAAGGAATGCAAGACACATGGATCTTCTGACATCAGTTGGGCAGTCTTCTTCTCCTCTCCTCAAGAATGTCCTTGGGGATGACATGAAAAGACACACCAGTGGGAACTTCCTCCTAAGAACATCACTGGACTGCTGAGGGCAGCCAAGTTGCCACTTGATGCAACAGGAAGGCTTAGGGAGTGGGTGGAAGGAAGGGATGGGGAGAAACGTCTCAGCCACTTCACTTTACAGGTAGGACTCCCCACCCACAAATTCACCTACTCCCCTGGAAATTGCTAAATATCCCCACCCCCCCATGACCCCATGAAAGCAGGGAGTGAGGAATAATTGTCCCAGCTTTATTCTTACTCCAGTGGTAGCCAACTTGGTGCCCTCTACATGCTGCTAAACTACAATTCCCTATTATCTCTGCCCACTAGCCATGTTGGTTTAGGCTCATGGGAGTTGCAGTCCAATAATATCTGGAAGATACCTACTGGCTACTTCTCTCTTACACAATTATGAGAAGAAGTGTGAATGTCTTCCTAAGAGAGAAGGACATGTTTTGTATGAGTAGCTTGCCTAGGGTGCAGAGCCATGAGCTATTTAAGGTCAATTCAAATCATCCTAAAGTTGTAGGCATTAGGTATTTGGTTATCCATTCTCTGTTTCAGTCAGGATAACTCTGCTTCAATTAAAAATAAACACTCATTGGTTTCATACCGCATTAGAATGTGTGCATCTATATCTGTGTCTATATATCTATATCTATCGCCTTTGTACATGCGTTCCCCTCCTTTCCCAAGCTGCATATTGTCCAGCTGGTTTGACTGGCAGTGTTTAACCTTGTGCTGTCTTCAGGTTGGCTGCTGGCTGTGTGCCTTCTCCCTAGCTAGCTGGGGTGTGCTTGTCTGATTAGGGGAAAAGGTGTTCGACACGGTTGAATTACTCTTTGTCTGAGACTGTCCTTCGTACATGATAATTTGCAAGCTTGGCCTACACTCTATTCATCTTGTCTTGCTCTCTCTCCCCCATCTGTGCTCTTTTTCCCTCCCTTGTTTGCATTTTATTAAGCTGACGTGATTCAGGGTTTCTCCCCGCCCCCTCTCCAGTTGGTCAGGTCAGTAGCAAAGAGAGAGAGAGAGAGAGAGAGAGAGAGAGAGAGAGAGAGTTAAGTCCACTTGGATGAAAGCATTAAGTTTCAGGGTCATTGCCCAAAGCAAAGCCATTCTCCAATCTATGGTTCTGAACTTGGTGGCTAGCTAAAGCTAAGCAGAAATATATGCATCAAAGGAGACGTCCTGGTGATTGTAGGAATGGGTTAGGGGGCATTTTCAAGATTACATGTTATCACTAGAACAGGCATCCCCAAACTTGGCCCTCCAGATGTTTTGGGACTACAACTCCCATCATCCCTAGCTTAACAGGACCAGTGGTCAGGGATGATGGGAATTGTAGTTCCAAAACTTCTGGAGGGCCGATGCCTGCACTAGAACATAGGAAGTTGCCACATATTCATATTTGTCCATCTGACCTAATACTGTCATTGATCTAAGGAAGAAGAAATACAGTGGTACTTCGGGTTACAGATGCTTCAGGTTACAGACGCTTCAGGTTACAGACTCCACTAACCCAGAAATAGTACTTCAGGTTAATAACTTTGCTTCAGGATGAGAACAGAAATTGCATGGTGGCGGCGTGGCGGCAGTAGGAGCCCCCATGAGCTAAAGTGGTACCTCAGGTTAAGAAAAGTTTCAGGTTAAGAACAGATCTCCAGAATTAAGTTCTTAACCCGAGGTACCACCGTATTTTCCATCACATATTACCTGATACTTTTTTAAGTGGAGGTTCCAGGGATTGAACCTGATATCTTTAAGGTGCGGACCATATGTTTGGCCCCTCTCCCATTGCCTGCTCCTCATTAGGTCCTGGTTTGTTCATCTGACAGCCCTAAGCTCATGTACAAAGCTGCTGCATTTCAGCAGATGAATTTTCAGGAGTTGAAGCAGGTCCTTTTTGCATGATAGTTTTGAGAACCACTTTTCTGATGACAGGGTATATTGAAAGGTATGAAATTATTATCATTGCAGCTCAGGAAGACTATTATACTAGCCAGCATGAGCTAGGAAGAACAGTGAGTTCCAACCCTGATGAACAGCAATAAGTTGCTGTGCAGTCACCGGGACTTTCTTTTTCAGACCATCAGTCTGAATATCTGAATTTTTGTGTTTGAGATTCCTAGTCCTTGGTATCTACTAAGTGATTGCAGTTCTTTCTTTTGTGATGCTTGAGACAATAAGATGATTCAGCTAATGCAGGAAAATGCCTGGGGTAAAAAGCAGTAGGTATACATATGGAAAATGTAGCTCCAAGTCCCTTTCCAGATATAGTTTTCTTTAGATGAAAAACACAATAGTAATTACAATTGTTTATTTCCTCCTATTTTTGAACTAAGAAAATAAATTACCGAATTCATTTGTGTTAAGAAGAGTTCCTTCTCTTAAGCACATCTGGGAATTACCTTGCTTGTTTCAATGAAAAGTTCATCTTGTCCAACTTTCTTGCTTCCTACAGTGGCCAGCCAGATGCATGGGGAAGCTCATAGGCAGCTTGGCACATTTCCTGTGTTACACTAGACAAGAAGTTTTCAAACTTTATAACAGTGAATTTATTCAGTAACACATTCACCACAACATAAAGTGATCATGTGAGGAAGTAGCCTTCATCATGGATCACAGATTTCATGTCACCTCCAAGCACATGTTTCAGTCAAGAGTGCTCACACCATTCAGATGTGAGGCTCCATGCGATGACCATGCTGATGTGAATTGGATCTCAGTAGATAAAAGTCCAACCTTTCTGGGAAGAGTCCTAGCTCAGATATAGAACATATGCTTTGCATGCCAAAGGCTCCAGATTCAATCCCCAGCACCTGAGAATCTCCTGTGCCCAAACCCCTGGAGAGTCACTGTCAGCCCATGTAGGCAATATTGAGCTAGATGGACTAGTGGTTTAACTCCATGCATGGCAGCTTCCTGTGTTCTTAAGCCTCCTTAGATAGGTCATTTTCCAACCTCCTTTCTACTCATGGTGTTGTGAAGAAAAAGTTACTGCACTGAGATAGGAACACCAAAACAATGCAAAGGTGTAAGTTCCATATGAAAGCACCCACAAGAAACTGAACATAGCATTTGGGTGGTAGGTATGGGAGACTTAGAATCACACCACTATATATCCATTAAGCAAGATGGAAATACCAGCAGTGGCTTAACCTCACAAAGCTGTTGTGATAACAAGCACAGTAAAGATGCAAGGCACTAGTTGCTGAGGGTTACCGTTCATATTTTGTGACAACTGTTTTAAAGGAAGTATCAAAGCAGCATGACCATCAAGGTTCTTCAATGGCAAATTGGCAGGGTGGAAGGGAGGTGGAGGACAGCCCAATGAGTCACCTTAATTCCCATATGGACTTTGGCTACACAACAGTTGCTTATATTTGATGGACTTACTGAATCTAGTTTTTGAAGATAAACAGGATGTCTAGACATGTTCTTTGACATTGCAAGGGATTGTGACTGTGTACACACACTCCCATTTATTCCGTACCTACTGTGCTCGTGCTGCTGGTTTAGGAAGCTGTGCACATGCAACCTTGGTCACAATCCATACATATCCTATCACATGTTATGAAATGCTGCGTTTTGATGCATTTTCTATCCTATCCAACTTCTATCCAAATTGAGAAAAAGAGCAGCCTGGCTGCATTTCAAACCTATGATACACAGTAGAGATAGCCAACATGGTGCCCTCCAGATGTTTAGGACTACAGTGCCAATAGCTAGGGATGATGGGAGATGTAGTGCATAATATCTGGAAGGCGCCACATTGGCTATCCTTCACATTGGGCTGTCCTCCACCTCCCTTCCACCCTGCCAATTTGCCGTTGAAGAACCTTGATGGTCATGCTGCTTTGATACTTCCTTTAAAACAGTTGTCACAAAATATGAACACACTATCAGCATACCCTGGGAGCCAGCCAGAGTCAGGAAGCCTCGTAAGCCTTTTAAGCTCCTGCACTGCTTCCATCACTACAGGCACCCACCTTGGAAATATGTACCCAGAAGCCCAGAAGAAAATGTTGTTACTGCCCTGGGCTAATCAGTAGAGTTTGCAGAATATTATCTGCTGCCTTGGTTGGTGGCGTAGTGATTTGAGGGACTGGCAGAGAATAGAAAAGGTCCAAGTGGATGTGACCTTCAAAATGGCTGGCTGCAGCCACCTGCTGGCTTCCCCTCCGCCCGTCAGCTTCCCCCTTGCTCTTCCTTAACTTACTGAAGTTTAAGAGGCCAAAGTCAAGGCTGTTCCTCGCTGCGAGAGTCTCCAGAGAGCAGCACTGAAGCAGAACTGCCATGTCTGAGCTGGGGAGAAAATGGAGTGAGGAGAATGAGAAACAGGGCACATTGCAGGCCGTGTGCGCATTCCCCGTGTAAAGTAAATAAAGGAGAAAAACAAGGGCAATCATTTTTCTGAAATGGAGAGGGATGTGGGACGGAGTCGGGGAGGGGAGTGGTGTGAGGGCACTACGAGGAAGGGAAGAAAGAGCTGCACAAGTGACAAAGAGAGGAAAGGCAGGATGATTAAAAGGGGAAAATGGTCCCTTTCTGACACTTCAGAAACAGAGAAATGTCACGGCATAGCAGCTGTTTATTGTGGGACTTTTCTCTGTCCCAAAGGCCCAATTCCAGTCTTTCCTTTTTAAACAAAACTGAGGGCTGTCAACCAGTTAAACAATTTCTAGTTGATTAGTCAACAGTCTTAACTGTTGCATTTAAATAAATGTGCAGGGGCGGGTGGCTTTTTCAGTGAAAGAGAACTCTGATAAGCAAAGGCACCACTTTTGTTAATAGGCAAGGTGATATTTCATGTTGTTTTCTCTACCCTTTTCCCTACAAGAGCAGCAGATCAGAACCAAAATAAAGACAAAGAGCAAGCAACAGTCTCGCCAACTAAAATTGGCTTCCACAACAAGTCATCATCAAAACGTTGATTAAGCTAATTAAAACTTTACATGACTTGAAAGACAGATCCATTCAGCAAATGGATTAAATATAATTTATTTATTATATTATTCAGTGCACTTTTGTTTTATATTGGTTTGCTCCTAGTTTGGATTTCTTCAACGAAGTGGAAGAAATTTAGCACATTGATTAATTCCACTCTTTTCCTATTGCTCTATATGATCTTTTCTTTTCTTTTGCTGATTGGCAGGCAGCCACAGATCTCAGATTCCTCCCTCCCTCCCAGACTCCTCCTTCCTGGGGATTAGGAGAAACTGTATTGCAAGTCTGCATTAAGAGCCCTGTTCAAATGAAGGACATACAACTTTCTCTCAGGGCCCAAACTACATGTGGTAATCATCATTTCATCCATATCAAGACTGTGGCCTTCATACCTGCAGTTTGTATTGGAGGCAGGAGAGCAGAAGCACTTACTGGAGTGACTAGGAGCTTTTTTCTCTCATGCAGCTTCACCCACCCAGAGACAGAATTGGGACCACAGCTGGCAAAAATCCAAAGCCACCCCAACCCACATTTCAGGGTTTTAATCTGGATTCTACCACTATTGCACTATTTCTTCTTTTTAAAAAAGCACTCAAAAACAATGTGATCTAGCTCTCAGCCTCACCCATTAACCTATTCCCCAATTAATCAACAATATGTTGGTTG